AATGATGGCCAACCAAAATACTAGCACCTTATTTTACGCCAATGAAGGTTCGCCTCAATGTAAAACTTTTGTTTTCCAATTTTGGTTCTACATCGGGGTAAGATATAATTTTAGTAGCATTTTATTACATTACTGTGTCATAAATATATTGTTGTCACATTAATATCTCATTACTTTGAAATTTCAACCGGGTACATGTTGGAGAATATAATCACTCTAAAATATGAATATAAATATATATATTAAAGTGTAAATCAAAGACAAACTATTAATCCTTTGAAAATCTGCATAGAAACTTAAAAGGTGAAGATTTCTGTTTTTCTAACCATAAGTAATTTTTATACTTGTAATTATGAAATATTAATTTGTTTTTATAAGCGTTGAAAAAAAAAAAAAAAAAAAAAAGATTTCGATTTTCAGTCCGATAAATGCTTATTAGTGGGTTAAAAAATGATTAGTCCTTGAAACTTTTAAAAAAGCAACATTGACTTTAGCCTTAGAAGACTAAGTTAAGAGGATTGTGTGGTTACTTTCACAATTAATAAGATACAATCAAAGCTTGAATAAATTTAAAGTAAACTTAAACTTTAATTAATTCCATAAAACCTTAAACAAAAATAAAAAATTTAAAGAGTAGAAAGAGAGAGACTTACATGTTGAAGCCCTTGTAAGCTCCATCTTCATATGAACTAGAATTGATAGGAAGAGCTGAAACCCACATAGCTTTTTTATATTCTCTGATTTCGTACTCCTTTTGGCTGTCAATAACCTCATATGAAGCACACTGAACCTTCTTACAATTCAATGGCATCTCATATCCCTTCTCTTCACTTGCCCTAATTGAAATACCCATTGACATGCACACAATCACCACCAAAACAAACAAACCAATCCAACCCATTTTGATCGAAAGTTGCCTTAAAAAAAAAAATAAAAAAAAATTAATAACCCTTAATTACAGTTGGATTAATACTATTATACTAATGGAAATGCTAATTTATCGATATGATAACTTAACAACTCTTTAGTACTCTTGTTATGTTAAATTTGGAAAATAGATATAAGAGAGCCTGGAAGGCTATTTGTGGTGGGAATTCTCTTGCTTTCATCTTTATTTTAGTGGCAAAATGAATTGCAACGTTGCATGTGCTTTCTTGCACTTTCTCCTTTTAATCTTTTTGACTAATTAACGTTGAGAGAAAGAGAAATATTAATTGACCCATTGATCATTTCTACTCATTCCTTTACCATATGTGAGAAAATAAAGAATAATGGTTTGTTGGTCCCTAGCCTGTGCAATATTCTAAGAAAAATATTATCCTTACAAAGACCTATACAAAGAATGTTACAAAGTGACATCATCCAAAAGAAAAAAACAAAGAAAAAACGGAAAAAGAGAGAGAGAGAGAGAAATCATGAAAATCAAGAGTGGAGATTGTCTTTGTATGCCCCATTTATATGTGTCTTTGTAAAACTAGTATTGCTCATATTCTAATTAGGTTTACTTATAGCCTTAAAATACTACTTTGATGAGATCCAATCTGGGGTATATTTGTAATTATTGTTGCCACAAAGGTGGTCCTAGAGATATCAAAAGGAGAGCAAAAGTATGACCCGACCCGACGCAAGTCCATGCTAATGGGCGGTGTATACGGCCTACGAATAGAATCCAATGGGCCCATCAAACAAGCTAGGTTTTGTAGGAAGGTCAATTCTAAAAGATGACAATAAATTGCCTTGATCTATAAGTAGGATTATTTAAATCCCATTTATTTTTTGCATTTAAATTAGGATGGAAATTGTAAGATTTTATAACCATTATCAACAATAACTCTAAAATTATTAAAATTAAAGGGATATTTGCAGAAAACCCCCATATGTTTGCTGCTTTGGACATTTTTGGAAATACTGACCATTAGGTTAACATTTTATATGTGAAGGGAAAACCAGTAATTCACAGAAGGCATAAAAATATTTTGGATTTAAATAATAATTTGATAAAAAAAAAAAAAAGAATGTTTACTACTTAGCACCGAAAAATAATTCCATTTCCATTAATTTGTCCACATTAGCTCAAGTAATGAGTGCTTATTTGTATGAGGCAACCACGAGTGGTCACATACATGACAGTTATTGAAGGTTGGGCATGTGTCCAACTATGAGTAAATTTTTCCTTAAAAAAATAGCTTACCAATTATTTCATATTAACCTCAAATGGTAGGCTGTTGGGTTAATCATTTCGCCTTGAGCTTGAAATTGAACCTGACCCGTGACCCATTCCCTAGGTATCTAGCCTACTTTCGCCCGATAGGCCCCATTTGACCTATTTTCTTAGAATACTGTTATTTAAGCTCCACTTTGTAAGCCCTAATATTCATTAAAAATATATATTTAAAGAGATTTTAAATTATTCCAAAATTCTTCTCTTTAATCTTTTTAACCTAATTCTTTTCTTTTTAATCATGTGTGAGAAACAAGAAAACAAATAATAAGACTTAATTAAAAAATAAATCATCATCATACTTTTATTCTTATTTGTTTTTTTTCAGGGTGTATTTGATGAAATTAATAATCTTATGGGGTCTAAAAGTAATTAAAAAAATAGGATAATATTTCTAGAATAATGTGCCAAACATTATTTGAATAATAGGATTGGGAATATGGATAAAAATAATAAGCCAAACATGGCCTATATTTTTATCTTAGAATTCTATTATGTTTAAAAGTTTCATAAACTGAAAAAACGTGGTCAGAGTTATTTATATGAATAGTACTGATAATCCCAATTTATATAATAATTTTGCATTAGATTTTAATAGGATTTAGAGTACTTTTCATTCATTTTGGGGTGAAATGGGCACTTAATTCACTTTGTTTTTATTTGCAGGCTTAAATATTGATTTGGAGCGGAAACAACGATTTTGAACTTGTCAATCTTGGGATGGCTTGAATTCTGAAGAACTAGAGAGTCGGAGCTAATTTGATACATTTGGAATAAAGACTTGGTCATATTCTAGCAAGAAGACATGAATTTTCGCAAGTTGATCTTGTCTTGAATCTCCCTTTTGCCCTTTACTTGATCTTATGGGTCCTGTAACTCCTCCTAAATCAAAAGTTATGGTTGTTTTAAGTAGACATGCTCGTGTTTGGGCTTCTGACACTTGACCCTCTCTAGGAATTCATTTACTAGACATTTTACATCAATAAAGAATTCCAAAGATCTCTTCTCTCTATACGACCATTTGCCACATAAACAACTGAACATAAAAAAGAACCTCCCCCATTAATTAGGCTAACATCACATAACACACTTTGATCTATCATCCCAACCACACAAACATTGACCACATCCGGATCCCACCCAATCACAATACGAAAAACTCTAGTCCCACACTAGACACCCAATGCCATCTTCGGAACACCCCATTAAAAACACACTCACAGTTAGCTCAGGCCACTCTAGTTTCCAGAACAGCACACATAACAACATTCTTCTCTTCCAAAAAAAACAAGCATTTCCTTTTGCTTACTATTATGATTTACATGATATAGAAGAAAATGTCTTTTATTGATAAATAAACATTATTACAAAAAAGTCAATATTACAAAATTGATTAGTTCTAGGGCACTTACTCTAACATTAATAATTCAAATTATGTGATTAGATATAATTGGTAAGGGCATTCTAGTAAACTTAATGTGCGTATTCTGCGGGCCAAGCGCTGGGATGATGGTTGTCTTGACCCCGACCCGTCCTTGGGGTCAGGCCCTAAAGCCGTACCCAAGCTCATGCCCATCCCCGCGAACAATAGGGAATGCCTGGCCAATACGAGCTAGGCTAGGTCAGGTGCTTGAAAATCTGGACACAATTGTCATCTCTAGTAGTCACTGGAGCTCTTACCCGGTTGGTAATTCTCGGATTCTGAAAGATTAATTGAGATGCATGTAAGTTGGCCGAACACCCTTGATCATAAAAAAAAAATAATAATAATAATAATAATAATAATAGAAGACAAGAAAGGGGAAGACATAGGGAGTAAGGGAATGAGACAATATCAAGTTGTAATTAGCTAATTATTAAAATTATCTCGTCAAAATAAATGTTCTTTAAGGAGTAAACATGAGAATCGTTTTCACTCTATATTCAATCAATACACTTAATTTACTTTCAGATTGTTCTCTTATTTTCTCTCCACATGATATTTTTTTTTTTTTTTTTTTTTGTGCAAGCAATTTGAATTAACGAATATTTGAGAAATAAAAACTGCCCCAATCATCTACATGTCAATAAATAAGAGACATGTTAAAGAGAAATTATAAAGCACAAAAAATGGAAAAATCATTTATACAATATTATTAATATTAAATGCAAAAATTATCCTTATGGATTCTATGATTTATTATCAATTCAAATACTTGCCATTCCTGATTTGGGACTCATTCAATTCTATAAATTCAAAATTCTTCATCCATTCAATTTTAAAAATCAGGAGGCATTTATGAATCTCGTTTGAAAAAAAAAAATCTTTCCCAAAGTTTTTATTTAGGTTAATTTCTTTTGCAATTAAGATTTTTCTCAATTTATGATGACCTCAGCTATTATAATTGAAATTATTCAAATATGTATTTATGAATTTTTCTTAATAAAAAATAATTAATTACATAAATAATATTATTTTGAATAACCTTGTTTTGCAATTTATGATGTGTTAAAACATTAAATCATCAAAATTAGCTCTAAAATCATATTTAAGAAATGGGAAATTTTGATAATATCAATACATATTACCAAAAAAAAAAAAAAAAAATTAAAATTAAAATTACATTATACCGTTTATGAAAACAAGTAAAATTTGTTTACAAGTAATCTTAACATTTCTCTTTTTACTTGCAAACTTTTCCTTTTATACTAAAAATTCCCTTCAACTCTTACTAAATAACATTGAAAAAAAATAGTACAATCAAGCGAAAAAAAATTCATATAAAGCCGAGATATAACATGGAAAAAAATATAATCGTATTGTCAACCCTAAGATTTTGAACTTTATTCCCTATGTATGATACTAAATTTGCATCAAGTGAAGTGTAAAAAACTGAATAATAATCTAAAAACAAACCCAAATTTCATCCTGAATGTGATCCTTTTTATGTACACTATCTTCTAATTAATTAATCACCTCATCTCCTACAATTTATCAGCAATTCTTCCTAAAGCATCTGCAAGTTTATTCAGAACTGCAACTAAGTTATCTGCGTTGTCTTTTCTCTGCTCCCTATCCAGCTCAAAATTGCTGTTCTGAGCTTCAAGTTGCGCCGTCAACATTTTACCATTCTTCTGCAATACATCGATCAACTGCAATTGGAGATTGCTCATTTCCTCATCACCATCTGCCGAAAGTCGCTTCCTCTTTCGCCCTTCCTGAGAAGTTGAGCCTATCTCAGGATTTTCGGACACCGGTTGTTTCTCATTTTTTGTACCTGCAGATTGTTGAATAACTTATATTAGATGATTGTTTATTTTTTACAATGCATCTTTTATAACAAGTATTTCATAGTTGGCGTTTATGAGGGAGTTTACGGTTTCTAGCTTCTCGTTGGGCCTCAATTTCTAGGGAACTTCCAGGATTCTTTGTGTGAAGATGAAAAACATTGTATGTTTCTATACAAGAGATACATATTTATACACAGTTATATATGTTTCTATACAAGAGATACATATTTATACACAGTTATATACATCAAACATCCCCTCAAACTCAAGACGGTAAAGAAGAAATCGGCATAAAATCAAAACCTATACTCTAATTATACATAATATTAACATACTACTACACAGGATGCACGTAAAACTTCACTTTATTTATTCAATTCAGCGGCGATGGAGTCATTAATTAAATTATCTTTTGGGGTTTGCATCGGTTTTGTATGATTTATTTTTTTTCTTAAGAATTACTTTTTTCATTAATTAGTTCATATCCTTTTGTTGTCTAGAAAAAAAAAAAAAATTTATCAAAATTATACCCACATGTTCTAAGTTCTTTAGACTTAAGCAGTGAACTAGCAAACAGAGTTTCTCAATTTGCAGAAAATATCAAGCAACTCGATGATATTCTGTATAAATTAAATCCGAATATGTTTGATAATTTCAATCCAAAATCATATTGCTAGGCACTCGACTACTAAAGAAGCATAAAAGAAATCTAATTGATCATGCTCACTCATACTAAATTAAGATTGGAAACAAGTGTTTGAACAAATTAAATTGTAAGTATGCTGCCTTGTTTAAAAATCCAAAACCAATTCTTAAGATTTTTTTTGTATCTGTTACAAATCAAACCGACCCAAATCAACTTCGCGAATAATACTTACAACTTATTTATGAAGGCTCCTGAAAGGCTAAAATTAATGTAACTAGGAAGCACAAAGTCTTATCAATTCATAAAAAAGGAGGAGGAAAAATATTACCTTGACCTTGAGAGCCTTGTAAAATATTAGGTTGGTAATGTTTCTCTGCATAAGGGTGGAAAAACAAAACAAACACAAAACTTGTATCATATTTATATTTAAACATTATATAAACAGGACAGCTCTCTATTTTTACTAATTCCAAAATCAAAAAGACCTGAAAACTAAGTAATTTCTAACTAATTTAAAAACCATCCCAAATTCATAAGAATTGCATAAATAATTTTTTAGTAAAGTAGATGATGAACATAAAAAACCAAGCTAGTATATACAAAAAAGGTACAAATTTTCTAAAGATATGGGAAAGCCCAAACTTATTTTTGAAAAGAAAAAGAAAACCCACCAAATCTTAATTAAAAAATCCCACAAGCCAGAAGAAATGGTTATTATCAATGACGTTTCCTGATCAAACTTAGTTAAAATTTTCAAATCTAGAAAGGGTATCTCCAGGTTTTTCACAAGTTTTAGCAATTAAAAGAGAAAATTTTGACTAATTCCAAAATAAAAAGACCATAAAACTAAATAATTTCTAACCAATTTAAAAATCATCCCAAATTCATAAGAATTGCCAAAACACAAAAACAAATGAAAAATTTCTAAATAAATGGCAAAACCGCAAAAGCCCAAAATTATTTTAAAAAAAAAACACACCAAATCTTTCATAAAAAAATCCCACCACCAACTCTAAAACCTATGACATCCTCTTTAAAAAGTATACCAACCATACAAATTCTTATTATTAAAATAATTATTTTCAAAATCACAAAAAAACAAAAACATAAAAAACAATTCCAAAACTCAAAGTCCACTTGTCCAAACCCAACCAATCCAATCCAATTACCTGAAATTGGCATCGTCGCCGATATGGGTTTCGCCTCCTTTGCCGCCGTCGCTATCGTCGCCTCCGTCACCGGGCTTGCTCCGATTTCCTCTTGTTCAAAATCCGAAAACAATCCATCCTCCACCGCTGCGCTCCTCCCGCTATCAAAAACTGCCTCTGTATCCTCCCCTGACTCCTCTGTTGGAGCCAAAGCCAGAGCCAATCTCCCACCCACCGCAGCCGTCGTCGTCGCTGTATCCTCCGCCGTCGCCGCCGCCGAGGGATCGGTCGTCACGCCGTCCAGGATATCGTAAACCTCTCTATCGAAAAACCCCGGCAGCTTCCTCTCTCTTCTCAAGTCGTTTCTCATCACCCAAAACGACTCCGTTCCGTCCCTCGCTTGTTGCGTCTCCCACTCCTTGATCTTCTTAAAATCGCCCGCCAAATTGCTCCACCGCTTACGGCACTGAACCGGTCCCCGGTTCACGCCGTGCCTCTTACAATAAGATGAAACCGAAGCCCATTTTGGTTCCACTTGACCCGACCCGTACGCCATCCCCGCCGCCCGGCCTCGTCGAACCCGATTCTCCGCAACTCTTTTACCTTGAATCAGAACGAGAATTTCCTGGCGCGTCCATCGCGGCAGTCTAGGGGCTTTTAAACCGTCGTCTCCGCCGTCGTTGGAGGGCGGTCGATGTTGAACGCCGTTATTAACGCCGTCATTTTCGCCGTTAACGGAGGTTGGAGCTAGGCTGAGCTGCTCTAAGGCCATGAAAAGAAAAAGACGAAGAAGGGAGTGTTGCGGTTTCGGATGACACGTGTCTTTAAAGTGTAAAATGAAGTAACGGCGTTTCAAAGGATAGGCCGTTACGCCGTTTAAAGAAGAGTCATCTCATGATTTCTCCGTAATAGAGATAAAAGAGGGAGAGATGAGAAAGAGAGAGAAAGATTGAATTTGAGTGTTGAGAGAAAATTAAAAGGGAGAAGTTTTGAGGGGTAGACTATTAGGTTATTGACCTTAATACTTAATTAAGGACTTAATTAATTTAATTAAGCGTCTCCAAGACTTGTTTAATTATAAACAAACCCAAGGGGCAAATTTTGAAATCCATAGAATTTAATGAAAATTATTTCAAGATTTATTATGGGAAATTTTGATGTGGGTGTGATTTAGGGTGAGCATAAAAGGAAGTTTAATTGATGGGAAATTTTGCTTTAATAAAATAGAGGTCAAAATCAAGAAATTTCTCTTGAAATGGGATTTGTTTGTATCCTATAAGCTAAGGTTGCTTTCTGAAATTGGGATAATCTTGAAAGGGCACCCCTCATGATCTCTCAAAGTAAAATAATAAAGCTAGTATTTCTCTGTACCTCTTCAAAGAGTCGTTTTCTTTGTGTAGAATATGGCACTGGACGCGGTTTTTGGGCCACCATTTCACTTGCCCACCATCCTTTTCATCTTTTCTAATATTACTTGGTTTTCTTCTTCTATTCATTCTCTTTTCTATTCTTTTAAAGATGCCCAATTAGAAAGTTATCGATGTATTCATAGCAATAAGAATACGTATTAGTATTGTAGCAATTTCATATCGATATTTATTAATAGGGTTGAGTAAAACCCAAGTCCAAAACTCATAGAAGAAAAGTGTTAAATTTTCATATTTATATTACAACAGTCTAATATACTAGTGATGTAAGATAAATTCAAACTTTTAACAACATGTTGACACGATATCATGCTTTATCGGATAATGTAACGTACTCATTCTATTGAAGACTTTTGATGAATGAAATTTGTAAGATGATTAGTACAAAAACATGCGGGGTGGAATGAATTATGTTTTGATAAGGGCACCTTACCCTACTTACCACTAGAGAAAAAAATTTCTTGTTAATCACGCTTTTCCAAATGAATCATTAGCCCTAATCTTCTCTTAATGACTAATCTTAATGGATGGCCCCCTCCATTAAAGTCACTTTTTTGTTTTTTTTTGGAATTTAGACAAAAATTTGATGAGGGTACCACTACCCAACCCCTCTTTCTTTCTAAGTAATATATCACAATCCCCAAATCAATTGCCCTAATTTTTCTTTAATTATTATAAATAAATTAAATTAGTTGAATCAAAGAAGATAAACTATTTTATATTTTAATCATAAATAGAAGCTTACAAAGATGGACTTGGAAGCACATGTCTCATTAGGGCCTTTGATTTAGGGGTTAGTGTGGTGTCTTAATCTCTTTTGAAATCTAGTGGGTCCTTCTTCTTTCTATTCTGGCCCCATTTTATTCTCAGTAAATATTTTTATGTGGTTTTATTATAAATTTAATCATTATCCTCTTCTATAATTATTTTAATTTGTTTCAATAATTACTTAAAAATTAATAGAATTATTTCATTTTAAAATTTATCATAAATCTTAAGTATAGTTTCTTAAATTTGTTAGAAATCTTCTTAAATTAGATTAATTTTATTTTTTAATACATATTATCATAAAGCTCAAGTATAGTTTCTTAAATTTGTTAGAAATCTTCTTAAATTAGATCATTTTTTTTTTAATACATATTATCTTACTCATTATGTTAATCTAACAATTTTGAAAAAGATAATAATATTTACCATAATTGTTAGGGTAATTTTCTTGGGTAATATGGTTGAACCTTGAATTCTTGTTCTTTGTTTTTGAACAAATTTTTTTATTATCTAGCTATATTTCCCCTTGTCTTATGACATTTATCCCACATTTATGATATTGACTTTTGCAAAATTGTCATTTTAATTTAATTTTGAATATAATAATGGAATTCCTACAAATATAATATAAGCATTTTAAATATATATTGCAATTCAATTAATAATAATCAATATAAAATTAACAACTCAAGTATTTATTCTTAAAAGTATGAGATATAAGAATAAAAAAGGATGTACCTAGTAGAGGAATTTCATGAAATTTGAAGATTTAAACCATACATAATTCTTTTTAAGAACTAATAAATATTTTTTTTAAGAAAATTTAAAACTCTTAATCCAAAGAAACCCTTTTGAAATTGAAGTGTACTTAGTTTGAAACTCATTAATATTTGATTTGACATAGAGAGTAAATGATAAATACACCACCAGTGGCCTTTGTGGGTCTACCCATTTTCCCTTTAATCACCATAATTATCTTCTAATCATAACAATTACTACTAGAACCAATTCTTACTTAGTGATCTTTCCAACACAACATTCCCCACCATTAATCACATCTTTAATTAAGATTTACTTATAATACTTTTATAAGCCTAATTTGTGATACAAATTTTCGTTTATAAAACATGAACAAAAATAATAAATTTGAGGGAGAATTTCATATTAAATTTTTTCATATATAACCATCTTTAATAATTTTAATTCCCAAAATGTCAAGTTTTTGTTTAAAGGACAAATTATACTATAAAATCACATAACTTAACTTAATTGTTCTTAATGAAAGTAATAAGGGCAAAAATTGTCAGAATACGCTAGACTACCAAATCTAGCACCCTCTAGCATGTTTTAATTAGATTGTTAAACCATAATTTTAAATGCTAGACTCGATTTAGACTATCAAATCTAGCATAGTCAAACATTATATATTAAAAATATATCATTTGTTGTTCATTAAAGGTATAATTAATAAATCACTAAATTTTATAGTTAGATTTTATTAGCCATTAGAAATGAAAAGGGGTTAAAATGTAATTTTAGAATATAACAACTCAATACGCTGTTGTTTTACTTTTACTCAAATGTACAAAAACAGTGTTCTTCTCCACTGATTTTAGTTCGATTCAGCTTAATGAAAATTCAGTAGTTAGCTTGAGTTTTTCTTCCGAAACTCTCTCTATCTAGGGGCAGATCTAGAGTCCCACCCTCAAATTTTTTTAAAAAAATATTTATATGTAATGTTTTTTTATTTTTATGCCAATTTCAACTAAAAATATAGAATATGAATATTATATGCTATTACATTTTATTTTGGCTCATCCTAACAAGAATTTATGAATCCGCTATTGTCTCTATCTTCATACCTTGCACAAATTTGTCTTTTAAATAAACTCGTACATTTTGGAAAATTGTGATTATTGAGTTGGCAATATATATCCAAACCCTTTCAGATTCTACTCTTGAGGTTTAGTTAATACTCAAACTCATGGCACCTTTGCTAGGAAATCCGCAAGAACTACTCTCAAACCCTAACTTTTATCACAAACTAAAAAAAAATAATAATAATAATAAATAACATCCACGAATACTTTAGTAATTTAATCTAAAATATTTTATAAAAGTAAGTAAGGGTGAATTAGTAAGTTTTAGTTTCAATTTTTAATTTGATAGACTTACTCAACATTAAGATTTAAAGATAGTTTTTGAGTATTAGCTAAACCTTATATATAATCCATGAGTAATACTACGCCCATAATCTCTTTTCACAAACTTTCTCTCACAATCTCGATGTGACAACTTGCGATTAATAGTTAACTCGCAAATGGGTCCCATCAGCTTGCTAATAGTCACACATAAAAATTTACAAACTGAAAAATTACGAGTTGCCACGTTAAAGTTATAAAAGAGAGTTTAAAAGAAGAAGTTATAAATGTAGTATTTTTTATAATCCATATATATGTCCAAGGGTGGCACCTTGACTCTAGCCTTAAATTTTATTTTATTTTACATTATAATAAATTCGTATTTTCTTACATTTTATTATTTAATTATATAAAAATTATCTTTTTTGTGGTAATAAATAATTATTATTCTCTCATTTCTTTAATATTTTGTTGATAAAATTAATTATACACTCTTTTTTTTCTTAGTTTCAAGCCATTCTTTCTCTAAATTTGAATATATTTTGTTATTATTATTATTATTATTTTTTATCAATGTCATCGTTGTATTGACAATATATATTAGTTTCACCAGCAATCTATTAATCAAATTAAATTAACTAAATAGAAATAAATAAACAAGTGATATCTATCTTAATTGTGATTTTTTTTTTCATATGGTATTTATAATAATAATAAATCTTGCAATATCGGCATAGCATATAAAATCTCGTAAATCAAATAAAATTTGGAGTTGAAAGCATTAAATTCAATAAAATAGGGTGATTGATTACTTGCTTAATGCCCATATTTGGAAGTTGTTAGTGGCTTCAACTTCAAGTTCCACAATTCATGGAAGAAAAGCAAAGACCAAAACTCCCCGTTTTGGAATGTTGAAAACTTGATTGTATTATTTGTATTGCACTTAATATGGGTTCCACGTAATTAAACACCGTTGAGATAGTATTTTCAACAGTTGCCAGAGATTCAAATCACAAAAAATTTGTGATTTCATGGGACCTAATTAGATTTACTTAAGGATTTTGTTGGTATACTTATTCAAATGAGTTGTTATTATAAACCCACGTGAGATTTCATTAAATGAAAGGAAGTCTCATTAAAGGTTTGGGAAAATTCGGCCATTAGATTTGTTTTTGAAAAAAGTTAATGACTAATATTAATTATGGAATTTATGAAAACAAAAATCGGTAACTGCTAAACAACATTAAAGACATATATATATATAATTATTAGAGTATGTGTCCTAAAGTCAATCAATTTATTGTAAATTGACTCTCATGTATAGTGTTTATCTATCAATATAAAGACAATTTTATTCATTATATCGTGTAAATCGTATTTAATTATATGTAATGATATATGTTCTTAAAATGGTAGAACCGTGACGAATTTATCAAGTGGTTTAAATCTTGATTGTGAGAACCTTAGGAGTACTTATGGTGGTCATTCTAAAAACGTCTGTACCCTCAATATTATTATGACTTAGGGCATAAATAATACGGTAAGACTATTATAGCGTTGAGTGACCCTATCGAAAGGTAGTGACAAGTCTCTCACATGTCAAGGTTGTTTGGTGACAATCTAATGCAATGCGTGGGTGCTTGTTGATGACAAATCACTTGACTAACTTATTAGAGG